TATTGCCAACGCCTGCACCAACAAGTAGCGAGTATCCAACTTGCTTCCCCACGCTTGAAAACTCGTCGAGTGTCGACATCAAACCGATGCCTACGGCCCACATCACCCAACCCAGCAGGATGCACTCTCGGTAGCGCCCGACCTTGTGTACTACGAGACCTGCCAACGTGCTGAAAAGCGTCTGCGTCAAAGTGACTGGGAGAAGCATGGCGCCGGACTTCGTTGCCGAGTACCCGTAGGCTAGTTGGTAGAAGGCGGGGATGTAATAGACCTGGACAACAAAGTTCCATCCGTTGATTGCCATGGTGATACATGCGCCATTCACGATCTTCGACCTGAATATGTGTACTAAAAGCCTCGATCAGTTTCAACCCCTCGACAGTCAATGAACTCAACTCACATGGCACGAGAGGGAACTTGGCGCCTTTCCACTGCCAAAGGATGAAGCCGATACAGACAAAGAATCCCACTACGAGAGTGGCAATGACGTGCGCTGAGTTCCAAGGATGGTCACCCCCACCCCACGTCAAGCCGAGCATGAGTACGGTTGTTCCAGCCAGAGCAAGGAAGCTTCCAACAAAGTCGACAGCTTTGAGCTTGCTGGGCATTATGTTAGCAATGTCCCGGATTCAACAGGTTCCGTTCGGATAGGAGTAGGTACACACATTTTCCAGTTGCCTTCCACCTTCCTAAGCGGCATGAAGAAGATGACGCAAAGTGTACATAGAAGAGTGAGTGGCATGTTGAGTCGGAAGATCCATCTCCATGAATCTTTGGACTGGGAAGCAAGAGCTCCGCCGATGACTGGCCCTATGCCATTTGCAATAGCAACTACAGAACCCTTGAATACTGTCAGCAATTGCAGAGAATAACAATGATCTTCGTGGCCCGTGGAAAAATAATATTCTCACTCAAGCCCTTGACTTCCTAGGTAGCGCAAGACTTACCAAGATGCCCTGATACTTGCCCCTTTCCCTGAGCGGCACCACATCGCTCACGATCATTTGAGCGACGGTCATCAAGCCGCCGCCTCCGATACCCGTCCAAGCTCGGAAGACGATGAGTTGGGTCCCAGTATTTGAGACTGAACTGGCGAGAGACCCGATGAAGAAGATCGCCAAGCCAATGAGGAGGATTACTTTCCGCGACCAGATATCCGACAGTCGTCCGTAGAGGAGCTGGCCGACAGTGGATGTTCTGGTTGAATCAATCAATTACCTTACTGCTGCGACAGATGATCGCCTGTACTTACATGAAGTATCCGCTGGCAATCCATGCTGTCTGATTACTGGCATTGAGAGAGTTGCCGATGATGTTAAGACTAGCTGCGAGCGTGGTCTGGTCCATGAGAGCGACGAGATCCACGCTGGCGCAAGCCAGGAAGATCTGGAAAGTGATAATCAGTCTCAAAAAGCGTTCAATACGTTTGGACTACAACTTAAATTACTGTGATGATAGTCCTTGGACGAACATAGTTTGTCTGTTCGTTGAACTGATGCGTAGGTTTCTCATCTTCGGAGCTATTCGCCAACTCTTGGCTAGGCCCAGCTGTAGGCTGTCCAACTGCTGGAGCATCAGGAGCAGCTTCAGTCAGGATGCCACTTGTCTTTTCGTTCGAAGCGGCCATGTTGAAGATAGAGCGTAAGCATCGACTTACTCAAGAAGGAAAGAAGAAAATGTGGCTGCGTGCGCCCAGCTCAAAAGATGCGAGCAACTAGGCTAGGAAGAAAGCCCCCGGCTTCGGCCGTTCGTAGGATCGGAGACCGAACCCCCGGCCATCAGGGTAAATGGCGACATGCCCAAAGTCGCCTCAGTGCGTTGTTAAACACGAGAACCCCTGATCTGTGTCTCTATACTGCCGAATGCCAAGTTGTGACTACTGCTTGTTTCCAAGACTATCGTGACGGTAAGTGGTCCTGTGGAAACAGAACCCCTGCGCGGACATCTGACGATCTGACCCCGTCCGACAGGGATTGGCTTGGCAACGAGAACCCTTGTGGATTGGCTGGATGCTCCCGCGAAACATGCTCAACTTGGGGAAACGAGCGCAAACTGACTCCCCCAAAACTTCGCAATTGAGCTCTTCTTATATATCGTCGAAGCGTAACGGTTTTGGATCCATTCAGCACGGCACCTTTGAGCCGGATTACGACTTTCTTTAATTGTCTCTTGGGGTCTGTTGTTACTCCCCAGGAGGATGATCGGCACGATGTCGTTACGTATGCCCTTGCAGGACGCAAGATGTCGCCCGTCTCACAAGGTACCTTTATGACAAACATACCTGGTGTCAGCAAACGTGAATAACCTTGATGACTCGTGTCGATCGGCTTTCTTTAGTGTGGTGTTGACCAATGTTGACAGGGGCATCGCGTTAGCATAGGCTCTGAAGGTTGTCGACGTCCGTCATTATTGGAGAATGGTCGGGAACGTGGGATGGAAACGAGCAGAAAGGATGCCCGACATTACTGACAGGCTGAGTTTCATGCGTCTTGATTTCATGGTTACCCTCTAAAAATGTCACAGCAGAGTTACATTGCCAGATGACGGTCCACTGACCGCGGGTATACGCGGCGTGTAAGAGTGGCCGCGCCTGGGAGGATGATCAAGCGATGCTGTCGAATCATAACTTGAGCTGTATAGCTGAGTTATTTCTCTCTTCCGTTGACCCCTCAGACGATGGGTCAGGTAGTCCGAGAGCAATAGAGACTATAAAGTAGCACTCGCAGTCTCCGATAATGAGACCATCTGATAATCAGTGCCGTTCGATATCACCCTTCTTTGTTTCATAATTCTTCCCAAAGTCCTCCGAAGGAAAATCAGAAGTAATGGCCCAACCCAATCACTTAAATGTCTATACAGGGCCAGATTCCGTCAGGAACTACTTCGATCCTGATGTTGCCCCGCCTCTGCCACTAGTCGAGGTACCTGAAGCCTTGAACCCCTATCGTCAGCATGGCGTCCGGATTTATGCCAAGATGATGTCGATGCATCCTGCGAATAACGTCAAGGCTATGCCAGCACTCAATCTGCTCCAGAATGGGGTTGTACCAGGAAAGACAGAGACCATCGTCGAGTACAGTTCCGGCTCGACGGTCATCTCTATGTCATTGGCTTCCAGAGTCTACTACGGTGTGCCAGATGTGCGGGCCTTTCTCAGCAACAAGACTAGTCAAGCGAAGTTGAGGTTGATGCAGTTCTTCGGACTGGACATGTAAGATATTCTGCCTCTATCATTAGGGGCTCGGTGATCCATGAACAGCATAGCTGACTACTTGGTCGTTAGTACCCTGTTTGGTGGCCCTTCTCAACCTGAGCCTCTGGACCCACGAGGAGGCATTTGTGCCGCAAGAAACATGGGCAGCGATAAGGGCACTGCGCTCAACCCAAACCAATACGAAAATGACGATGTAGGTGTAACCTAGCGCCTATCAGTGATGAGGAGGCACTGACAAATTTTGGTAGAATTGGAAGTCTCATGTGCGGTGGACTGGACCCCAAATCTTCAAGCAACTGCCCCAAATTTCTCTTATTTGCGCAGGAATGGGTACTTCTGGTAGGAAAGATGTCAACTCCGTCTCGTCGACAACGCCTAACATACTAATAGGCACTCTAACTGGTCTTGGAACCTACTTCAAGCAGGCTAAGCCGTCAGTATACCGGCTGGGTGTCTGCACCGCGCCTGGCGATCGTGTTCCTGGCCCCCGATCCTACGCTCTTCTTCAACCAGTAGAGTTTCCATGGAGATCCGCAGTCGACCACGTTGAGCATGTCGGTTCTCAACACTCCTATTCGCTCTCGCTGGATTTGTGCAGACAAGGCCTCATCGCCGGTCCGTCTTCAGGTTTCAACCTGCAAGGCCTTTACCAGTTCCTTGATAAGCGTATCGCGGCCGGCAATCTGAATGAACTAGCCGACGATTCTGGCGAGATCCACTGCGTTTTTGTCTGCTGCGATTTGCCTTACCAGTACATCGATGAGTACTTTGCGAAATTGGGACCTGAGCATTTCCCTGCAATCCACAACGAGGTATGGACGATCACATTTTCCATGATATACTCAAATAGAAGACTGACCTTTCTCTTAGAACCTTACAAAGGTTGACCTTCACCGCTATGATGAGGCATGGGAAAAGACTGCGACTGAAGCCTTCATGCAAATTCCGTCTGCAGGTGCTATCCGGACCAACGAGACCCATTTGCCGAGTACACCACGCTATGTCGATACGAGTAGTGCTGCACTTATCCCCCGCCTTCCAAACACGATCATTCTCGATCTGAGACAATCCGAAGACTACCAGATGCACCATGTCGCAGGTTCCGAAAATATTCCGATCGTCGAGTCCAGTGACTGGAAACCGTTCTCTGACTCAAAGGTTCTGGAACAACTATGGCTCAAGCTTGAGACGACATTTGACTCGAACAAAGACGTCGGCAAAGAGTTGGAAGAATATCGACAGAAGCCTATTCTAGTGTTGTGCTACGACGGCGACAGCGCCAGGGTAGCGACCAGTGTCCTGCGTGCAAAGGGCTTTGAGGCTGATAGTGTTCGAGGAGGCTTCCGTGCTTTGAAAGAGCTTGAGAGAACTACCAAAGCTACATCGGGGGGTTGTTCCAAAGATATGCCCGCCACCTCGAGCGTTGAAGAATTGGTTGGTCATCGCCAGTCGCATCTCCAGCTGGCGTGAGACAGAGGCGTATTCATGATTTGCTATTACCTTGACGAAGACACGAAATGATGGTCTGAAATATTTACATGAACAAAGGCCGGGGGGGGGGGGGGGGTCAATTGAAAAAGGGGCATAACGCTTGGGCATTAGCATTTTGGTAAAAAGAACATCGAATCTCTGACCACACCAAATTTGCTCCGATGTATTCCGACGACTACCTAGTAAACCTCGAGATCCCTTCCCCCATGTTTGCATGTGCAATTCGTAAAACTTCCCCACCAAGTGATCATAGCTCTCAGGATTACCAGTGCAGCCTGCAGAAACACAAAGATGCCTAAGCAGCAGCAATGGGCCAGTCATTATAGTTTTGATTTGGTTCCTCAAATGGTCCGTAATGAACGTTATTGCCTCGATTGTTCTCTGCAAAAGGAATGCTATGTTGAATTCGAAAGATGACATCCTGTGACAAAGTCAGAATGCAGCCTGGAATTCACGATGAATTAGACACTCTCACTGGGTTGTAAATGAAGGGCCGGCCAAACGTGATCAAATCCAATTTGCCTTCTACTACCAGACAATTCGCCTCGTCGACTGTATAATCGTAGTTGGCCATAAGCATCGAAGGACTTCCGGGAAACTTGACTAAAGGTCCGAAGTCAATAACCGGATCGTAACCCAGTGGTAAAGGGAAGCCATCCGGCCGTGTGGTGTTCCCAAAGAAATCTCCTGTTCCTGTATTGTGATTTGCACCGCGCCGCGAAAGATTGATGATGCCAATCCGCCTTTTGACAAGCTCTTTGATAAGGTGGGTATAAACATCCTTCATCTCTTCATAAGTCACGACAGAGTCATTTGTCTGATCTGTCGGACAGATTTTAATACAGACGAACTCGGAACCGAACACTTCGGCCAGAACATCCGACACCTCCAGGATGAATCGGCACCGGTTTACGACAGAGCCACCGTACGCATCGGTGCGGATGTTCGCGCGTCTTTCGCTATGTCAGCGCGATACCACAATGAAAAACAGTGGGCAGGGGCACTTACGAGTTGAGAAACTGTTGGGGAAGATATCCGCTGCGCATGTGTCAGTGATCTTCATCATATTCAGCGAGGTATCGTGCCACGACTACGCCGGCGCTTACCCTTGAGCTAAGAGCTCAATACCGTCGAAACCTGCCCTTTTAGCGAGGATGGCAGAGTGTCGATACATGTTGACGAAGTCGCGCGGATTTTCAATTTCAGTGATGTTATGAGTGTGCCCCTGAAACAAAGTAGATTAGTCAATAGCATTTTCTAGAACGTCGTGAGACTTATACCGGAGTGCCAGGAAGATCACGGTATTTGCCCCCTCGAGCCGGGATCTTGGAGGGTGCAACAACCGGATGATTCTTTGCTTGCATAATAGGAATCTGTTCATTTTGGCAGCGACCTAGATAGTCAAAAGTTAGGGACTTCAAGTCGTTACGTCTCCAGTGGTTTCACTCACCAAGATGCCATGGCTGGAAGTAAATCTTCCCACCCTGCGTATGTACAGCCGTCGTCACTTTCTTCCATGCTTGCGCATGATCCTCGGTGATCATGAGAGGTGCCCACTTCCAATCACAGCCTTGCCAGTCGATGAAAGTGCCTTCTGCGATGATAAGTCCTGCGCCATGTTTCGCTCGTTCTGAGTAATGCTGAATTTGTTCACCGCCTGGCTTGCAGTCATTCACGCAGCGGTTGCGTGTCATAGAACCCATAACCACGCGATTGGATAGATGGAGTTTGTTCCCGACAACAACGGGCTGAAGGAGACTAGACATGGTGGTATGCGGAGCCTAAGATGATATTAGAATGGGTGTTGGTTGAGGCGAGTTATTGGGTATTATTGGCCGGGAGTTCATGATAGCAGTTGAAATTCGACAAGGACTAGATGAGAATTCGTGCTTATATCTATGAATTGGCCTTGATTAGGCGGGATCTCGAAAGTAGTGTGCATTTACTTTTGCTGACGTATGAGTTTGTCGAGTAAAAGGCGTCATGGCGGATCGGCGGCAGGGCGCTAGTCGGATGAAGGGCGCAGGTCTTCGGATGATCGGTCAGCTAGACAGAACGTACGACTGAGCATTGGAAGGCTATGAGAAACTGAGAGTTGATGTCATTCTTTCAGGTCAGCGCAAACGAAATACATAATTTGCAAAGTAAATGGGTCGCCTCTACGAAGGCTTATGAACATCCACGGTTGTAGATACTGATGGACCTTCAAACAGTTCTCCTCTATGCTGCATTGATTGTGGCACGTCATGTTGCGCGCAATAGCCCTGTCAGATTAATAGGCCTTAGCATTGGAAAGTATGAAGAAAACGAGCAGTATAATCTACTCAATTGAACACATCTACAACGTATCTGCTCTTCGGAGCCATACCAAAGGACTTCTGGACACTATTTGCTGCACCTGCCTCTTTCCCTGTATTTTCCTCATCCTTGAACAAGGCGATGCGAAGGACATCGAACACAGAATCCGAAATCTTCTTTCCACCGCATACATATAACTTTGCCCCTGCTTCCCACAGAGCGGAGACTTCCCCTAGATGGTCCCGAAGCTGATCAGTTACATGCTTGCATGACATATCTCCGTCTCGGCTGAAGGCGCGGAAGACTTTGACAGCATTTTCAGTCTCGAAGTCATCGAGTTCATCTCGATACATGTCATCGAGAAGCTGTCCATGGCAGCCGAAAAACAAAAGCGCCGGCGCCAACGTAGCACCGGAACGTAGTGAGATTGCGCGGTCTTGTATGAAGCCTCTGAACGGGGCTAGACCAGCCCCCGCAGCAATCATGATGACCGGCGTCGTTGCTTGAGTCGCTGCGCTTGGAAGGCAGAAGTGAGGTGTCGACGGCAAGGGTGAAACGAAGAGTATACTTCCTGAGCGGAGTGAAGCCAAGTAATTTGAAGCTACACCCTTTTTCTCAACAGTGTAAGTAAGGGTGGCGGAATTGGGTTGCCAAGCAGGGGAAGAGGAGAAAGAGTATGTACGAGGACGCATCCGAGGTAACATGATCAGGAACTCCGAAAGCGGGAGATTGAGATCCGGATAGGACTCCAGTACTTCAAGGACACTGAGGCCCCTATTGCGCGGCTCCGAGCTAAGCAAGCCTTTTGACAAGGTCTCTAAGGCTCTGCGGGTCTCATCTGAGACTGCCAGCTCACTCATTACCTGAATATTTCCAGGAGTTGCCGCACCTGTCAGCTCGACATAAGATGCAAACAGGTCCCATGCTGTCACAGGGGTATTGCTTGGGACCGGGAGTGGGCGTCCAGATTCAGACTGAATCGTGAGGACAACATCGCCGCTCAACCTGAAATACGATAGAGCTCGGCGCACTAGCTGTGCATTATTCACCGGCAAGATGTGGACGTGACCACCAGCCTCATAAGATGTCCCAGGTGGCAGCTCTAGCTCAAGATGTCTCTTTGCTGGGACTCCCTCGGCCGACAAGGCTCGGGAATCCTTGACTGTGGCTGCAACAAAGCCACTGCGCAAAGTAACCCGTGGGGGATCTTCAAGCGTGAGCTCCACATCGATATCCGACTTTGGCCTGGTCGCTCTCATGGCAGGATATCCCAGGAGAATTGGCCACAAGTCGTTCATCAGCCACTTCTCAACTTCGAAGAAGACATCAGTAGCTGCTGTGTCTGCGACTCCCAGTGTGCACAGCCTCTGTCCTCCGGCTGTTTCAAGAATCGAATCAAGAGACCTGGGAACTTTGAATAGAGTCGCTGGCCAATCTCTGTGACCTGTGAAACTTATCGTCAGTTTGTGTATGAATACGAAGCCACCAGTGCGTATCTTCAGGGGCCTGCGGGAACTAGAACATACCACAACCAAAAACGGCATACTTCAAATGCTGCAAGTCTCCGAGCTTGAGACCTTGAACCCAAGGCACAAACATGGCTGCGTTGCGAGACGGTAGCCCGTTATAGGAAGCAGAGACAAGAATGACAGGCTGATTTTGCGGTAGCTGATCAACTGCGTCATTCATAGGCATGACTACTGGGTTGTATCCCTTCGACCCAGCTTCAACGGCGATTCTCTGAGCCACTGCCTCGCAGGTGCCTGTATCTGAACCAAATAGAATGGTCATTGGGCCGAGCAACGAAGGGCTGATCACCGTAGGATTGGCAATGGGCTTCGGCATGGGCTCCGGAATCGTTTTCAGGCTTTTCAGGAAGTCCGTCGGGCGTTTGTCATTTCTTAAGCTAACACGAACTTTGAAGTTGGCGGGCTTGATGGTGAGAAGATGCTTGACCTTGAGTCTGTAGTCGGGGTCGCCTTTGGAAAGGTCGAAGTTGCGCAAAATCATTGAGATAACCTACAACAGTCGTGAGCCACCAGGAACATGAGGAAAAAAGTCAGGATCTGAAGGATTGGGCGACTTACGAGTTGGGCCTCCTGCCAAGCGAAGGCTCGACCAATACAACCACGCATACCGTTGCCGAAAGGCTTCCAGGCATTCTGAGGGATGTCTTCCAGGTTTCTCATCCTGTCAGGCCTGAATTCTTCCGCATCGGAACCCCAAACTTTGGGATCACGGTGAAGTGTGTGCAGGAGAACACACAAAGCTTCACCTGGCTTAACCAGATACTTTCCACCGATGATCTCGTCCTTAAATGGGGTAACATAGTATCCAGGCGCTGTGGGCATAAGACGCAATGTCTCTCGAAAGACGGAGTCCAAAAAGGGGAGTTGCTGAAGATGGTCCACATTGATTGGACCATGACCCACGACCCTGTCCACCTCCTCCCGTGCCCTCTTCAACTCCTGGGGATGCTCTACCAAGTAGTAGATGGCGAAAGACAGAAGACCTGAAGTAGTCTCGTGACCAGCGACCAGGAAAGTGATGATATTGTGTACGATTGCCTCTTCGCTCAGAGAGTCACCAGTCTCCGCGTCCTTGCCGTTGAGCATAGCATCGAGGAGGTCGTTGGGTATCTTTTTGCCGTTAGCCTGACGCCTCTGAGCAATGATATCGCGACAAGTAGCCTGCATCTGCTCGATGTTATTTCGAAACTTGGACATCGCTCTGGGCCGAAGGAGGCTGAAAACGTCAGGAAGAACGGCTTGTAGATCCGCTTCAGCGAGGACTTCCACCATGCTCTCCACGAATGGATGAGCCTTCTTGTCGAGATAGAAGCTATTGAAGCGATAGTCCATGGCGCAGAGAGAAATGGTGTCCAGTGTCAGCCGAGTAAAATCATCGGCCACCTCAATAGGTGCAGAATGACAATGTCGGGCCCTATCGCTTGTTAGCCAGTGGGTCACGAGATGTCCGGATGTTGCATCGTAATCTGCTCACCACTTGAGACATAACTGCTCAGAAAGATCGTTCATATCGTCAAACATGCTGCGAATTTTCAAGGGTCCAAACACCGGCATGAGGATGCGGTGTGCCACACCCCAAGTATGATTATTGTGCTGCGCTGTGAAGAGCCCGTCGCCGGCTGCTGCTCGCATTGTCTCAATACCACTCGTGACGATCTTGCAAAACCGGCTCTCATCGCTGACTTCATTCACAAGCTCGCGACTTGAGATCGTTATTTCCCTCGTGCCGGCGAAGGTAAGAGAGAAAATGGGGCCTGGAGAATCAGCACCATGAACTCGCACAAGTGTGTTGGATGGAAAAGAACAAAAAACGCCAAAAGTTCACCGTATTCGCTAACAAGCCCAATAAGGGAGTCCAGAGGGCTGACGAGATCGATGTCCAAGATGTTGCCGAGGATAGGCAATGCTAAGACCTGATCAATATTGTGTCTCTTGATTCAGATGGAGGACTGTTTGTTGCAAACAACATACGTTTTGGCCCGGGAATAGGGACTTCAATGCCAAGAGAAAGCTTGGCTGACTCTTCATCAATACCTATGTGCATGGCTGAGACTCGGCAGGAAATGATCTGTGACAGATTTGCTCTGAGGATATCAAGATATAGAAGAGACTGGATAGATATTTCACTTGAGATGGTTTAGAATCCCAAGGTTTCTAGACCGTGGGTTGAGGAAAATGTCAGGAACAATGCCGAGATTTTACACAATGACTTCACTGACAGCTTCGCTAGGGGATGCGCAGGATGCCTTCGAAGGCTCTATTCCGACGGAAGCCAATATGCTAATTATCAGTCTCTCCAGATGCTTCTGCGCTGCGCGGAATACGTCTCATGATCGAGACAAAATAAAGTTTTCAATGAAGGAGCAAATAAAATCAGACCATCTCAGCTTCGGCAGCTACAGCCGTTAATGGTTTCTTCAGACCCACGAGGGATTTTCGCCAAAGGCGTAACCTCCAAACCTTCCCGCGTTGAAAGGATACATGGGAATTCGACAGAACCACTAACTTACAGCACCGTTTGCGGAAATACTCTGTCAGAAGGTTTGTCTTCTTGGATAGGACTTTGAGCCGTGTTCGAAATCCCGACTAGTCAAGCCGCGGGTCACGTTGGCGAGAGAGCATATGTCGGAGCTCGCACAACGTCCGGCTTCACTGACAGTCATACGCGAGGTCATATCATTGTGACGAGATTACTAAAGTCAAGTTGAGGTATCTTTCAAGATGGCCTTCTCATGTGAAAGGTATTTTTTCCTTCTAGGAGAATGGCTGTTTACAACGCGGAGGCCTCCAGATACACAAAGGAAGACTTGCCAGGGCCACCGCATGGAGAACTGCCGTCAGAGCTCCAAAGACGTTGGAGATTAATACCGCATTGCATATACGCACAACTGCCCTGCACTTTACCCCAGACAGGAAAGCCGACAAGGAGTTGACTGGCGAATGGGGAACATGCTAAAGTCAGAAAAGCTTACTGCTCCCCATAAATAAGTAGTGTCAAGCGCCCGTCCCCCGAATCCCCAATTGACTAGACCGCCCAGACAAATCCCTCATACATAACTCGCCCAGATGCCCCCGTTGTACTTGTGTGAAGTCTGAAGAGCTCGCGATACCTTCTCTCGAACAATTATGCTTAGGCTGGTCATTTATGAGCAACCGCACTATGCCAAACAAGTATCGACTTGCGGGCGCACTTCGTCGGTAGCATGTGGCACTGCTCTATCCTCACAAATGTGTCAGAAATCGCTCACGCGACATCCACAATCAAAGCAACAGAGCCACAGAGGGAAAGGAGGTCAGTATTGTGAGGAGAAAGCAAAAAGATGGAGGATGTGGCGCTTAGGGACTGAATGAATACCCAGGTGATCAACTTTGTGTCTGATGAGGATGGATCCTGGGCCCTTTCGCTCGCTCCTGCGAGCACTGAGTATCGTGGAGCAGTGCCGTGTTCCACTGCCTCGACCGTATCTAGGGTGCGCGTCCGGCAGGCGAACTCACGATAATTAGAAAAGGCTCTCTGTGTCCCCGAAGGCAGTATTCTACCGGCACTTGGATCGCCTGCCTCGTCCCAACCTATCCTGCCTTTCGATACATACCTTGCTCACTCTCTACATTCTATTCTTCAGAGGGCGACTGGAAAGTTTCTGGGCAAGAAATGGGTGATATCAAAAGTGTCGTTGTCTCGATCTCAGCTGTCTCTGAGATTTCGGAACGCAAGCGTACTTTCTCAAGTCTCTCGACTAGTACCACGTCATCCCTCGCCGCCCCCAAGACACGTCGACCTCCGCGTGTGACAAGCACCGAGAAGGTCCGCGAGCTAGTTCGATTAGCAATCACAAGACTCCGAGTCCTGTTGAACGAGAACAAGGGCACGCGCAGGCCGATCTCCCAGAAAGGCCTATTCTCCTACAACTACGTCGAGCCCCTTTTCAATTGGTGGGGCGCAAACTATCGTGTTCTCACCACGCAATGTCTCGGCCGAGTCGAAGCCTCCGACGCACTGGGTTCCGTGACGAATCTTGTCAACGGAGCTTCTCACAACTATGCTGGCTTCTACAAGGCTACTTCCCAGGCTGAGGAGTTGCAGCGGCTGTGTTTGGAAGCACTGCCGGTGTCCGACACACAGGCTGTTCCCCTTCTCCGAGACGAAACGAATCCTGCAATCGCAGACTTCTTTGGAGCAGACTTTTGCTTCACCACTAGCACTGGATATGGATCTAACTATATCGCGCTGCCGTCATTGATCGATTGCTCCACTGTGGTCATCATGGATGAGAATTGCCACAACTCGATGTTCACCGGCGTGTTTCTGGCCCCCTCACCAAACTTGCGAAAGTTCAAGCACAACAATATGGAGCACCTTGAAACCTTACTGAGCGGGTGTTTTGATGAGTCTGTCAATGTGATAGTGGCCATAGAAGGTCTTTACAGGTCTGTGAAAATCATCTTGTACCTTTTGTGGGTTGGGTACTGACTTAAGACACCGCAGTATGGAAGCCGATGTACCCCCCCCGGATCTCCTCCATCGTTTGAAGAAGGACTACGAATTCACTCTTTACTGCGACGAGGCTCACTCCTTCCTTTCTCTTGGGAAGACGGGTCGCGGATGCCTCGAATACTGGAACGACCACCACCCAGAGAGCCCGTTACCCTGGGATCTGATTGACATTCGCACTGGAACACTTTCCAAAGCTGTCGGTGGTATTGGAGGCATAATCGTCGGGAAGGCTGTCTTTCAGGACATCATCCGTGAGCACATCGACGGCCTCGACGACCAGAACAATGTCTCCTTGCCCAGCTCGACAATGGTCCAGACGTTATGGGTACTGGGGCAGCCACATCGAATCCGTCGTAGCCTCCAACGGCTTGCTGAAATTGCCCGATTCTGTCGCGAGGAACTGGAACGCTTCGGTATATTCGTTTATGGTGACGTCGGTACACCGATTCTGCCTATCTACACCGGCAGGCCTAGCCTTTCTGCGAAGCTCTCTTACGCCCTGAGATGCGCCGGACTACTGGCGACACCAGTTTGCACTCCAGCAGTGCCTTTCTGGGAGAGCAGAGTTCGAATCAATCTTTCGGCGGACTTCACAGACGAGGAGGTGAACAGGCTTGTTGATGCTGTTATCCGCGCTGCAGCAAGCGTTGGTATGAGGAGGATGAGAAAGATATCTCGTTCTTTCTTCAAGACCAAAGTAGAAGATTTCGATGGGGAGGAGGATTGCAACGAGGCCTCCAAGGTCTTTGACTGGGTACGCAGCTTGATCAAGATGGACGCTGCCATGGGACCGCACAGCGACCAGAGGCAGCTTTTCGATAGCACTTGCGGTCCTCGAATTCTCGACATAGGTCATGGATCTCGTGCTCAGTATGGCATTGGAGCAGGCGGTGCCAGATGGATCTGCGGCACGTTTCCTCCCCATCTTGTGGTTGAGGACCTCATTGCTCGTGCCACGGGCATGGAAGCCGCCTTGACCTATGCGGACGCCTCTATCGGGTTAGCTTCCACTATAGCAGCGCTTGCACGCCCTCTGATAGGACATACGAAGCATTTCATGCTGTTTGAACGAGGCGCATCCCAGTTTGTTCGGGATGGCCTTGCAATGGCATCAAAAAAGGATGCCCCTACTTTACTGGGTTACGTCGATCTCTTTCAACTTGTACAACAGGTTAGAAAGCTCTATCGAAGAAACAAAAAGCTATGTCTTACGGTCTATGTCCGCGTTGGAGAGGATTCGGCACACCATCTGCTTTCGTCTATCCTCGAAGAGATTGCTGCCATCACAGGTCCAGAGTCCGTCATGACCATCCTCCTCCACTGCACTTCTCAATACTTGGACCCAAGGCAACTCATCTCTTTCCCCTCGCGGACGAACATTCACGTCTTGGTCTGCGGATCTTTCAACCGAATTTTTGGCTTGCCCGCGGGGTTTCTCACCGGACCACAGAGCTTGATTCGAGAGCTCCGATACACGAGCAGGGGTTATATGTTCACTACATCTCCACCGCCCTTCATCATGGACATGTTGCGAGGTGCCCTAGAGTGGAACCTCACATCTATCTAACAGCTCTCAAAGAGGCTTGAGACTCATACTGGTGTAGGGCGCTGGGAGCGAGGAGAATGGCATCACTATGCTCTGCTTGATGCGAAGAACCTACATCTTTCTCTGGTCATCCATTTTATTGAAACAAATCTATATTTAATCCAATCTCAAAATCAGTCGCCACTGTTAAGTTGAGTTGTTTCGGGAAAACACCATACCGTTTGATTTAATGTAGTCTGTGATTCTTCCTAGTGAGTTCGCAAATGCCCTGAGGGGCAAAATGTCATTATTGCCGCCCACGTGCCGCCCAAGAAAGGTTTTGACTCCGAAGTGGAGAGACCCAAATCTCCACAAAGTTTCAGTAAGGCAAGCATAGAGAGTTGAGTTGAAGACACAAATATAGACATGATAGCCAACTAGTTAAGCCAAACTATCGCTCAAGCCACACCCAGCTCTGTCCAATTCGGCAATCGCCACATAAAAGCTACATCTAGCCAAGTTCGATCGCCCAGTGTAGTCCAGTGTGCCAATGTGTGGAATCAGAATAGTTCTTCTGAAGGCTGTCGAAGTTTCAGATACTCTTCATCAAGAAACCGGAGATCGATGTTCCGCAGAGATTCTGACCAGATGAGATCTACCTTTCACCGATTTCTTGAATTAAATATGGAAAACTATGTCCAAAGCGGGAGATTCATAACCTGGCAAGCTTCGAAAGGGGTGTATTCAGATAAGTATGATCGTTTGGCAAGATAAGTTTGCTGCCTGCCTGGCAATGGCGGTAAGCACTTGGTCGGCCAGCTGTGGCAGACGACTGCAGCTTAAAAAAACAAAAAATGCTTAGGAAAAGTTAGCAGAACTTGAAAAGCGTGGATGGATTTGCCGCACAATCTTGAGGTGGTACAAGAATTGGTCGAACTGACAATGAATGTTTAGCTGCATCCCCATGACGATTGGCGACTACTACAAGATAATTCTTGGTCCGGGCAAATAGTAAGTCTCGGCC